GAGCTGATGAGACTGGGGTGAAAGCTTGGATGAAAATTGCCAAGTTTGAACAGATGTCATGGACAGTGTTTGCACCTGCTGTAGCTGAACGTATTCTGGGAAGACGGTCTATGTGTGACTGGGGTCGCGTCCCCTACCTCATCCTGTACAACAGGAGGCCTGGAAACCCACCCTTCAGCCGACATCGATGGAACATTCCAAATAGGGGTCAGTGAGGTGGTCCAGCCCACAGACGTCATTAATATGAAGGCGTATAGGATGCCTGATGGACAAAAGAGGATCTCCAGGTTCACTATGTCCTGTTAGAGGCTGGAGGGCAGGAAGGATAAATTGAATCATAAAGTGACAGGAACTATTGCCCTGTGTGGAGCCCAGGAAGAACCTTAGGGCAGGAGTCAGTGCGCGCCCCCCAGTGGTCACCGCTGGGTTCCGTTTGAGACGGCTGGCCCACTAGCCGGCATCGGGTTTGATGGAGACCCCTCCCCGACCCAGGGGCACAGAGCAATTATGGAACATCCCATGGGATGCCACAGACTCGCCAGTGGGGAGGTAAGTGACTGGAAGAGTTCCTGAATGAGACGGGAGTTTTATTTACCTATTTATACAGGTGCATGCTCCCGGAGGATGTCCGTGAACAGGACAGGTGCATGCTCCCAGGGGACATCCATGAACAGGGAGCCTAGTCCCCCGTCCAGTGGCCTTGGAGCCCCCGAGGGGCTGCCAGACACCACCGCCACGTGAGCGGTGCCCACGAGCAGCTCTCAGGCAGCACGGCCTGCTGGGTTTCTGGCAGTCCGAGGGGAATGGACAGCATCCCCTTGCATGGTCACAGTCTGATCAAAGAAGGTGAAAGCGAATCGGCTCACGGTTGAACTACATGCTGTTGCCTCTGTGTTGGGTTTTTACTGACTAGCGTGTGGTGGCCAGTAACCTGGCCATACAATCAGGCAGATGGGCAACAGGAAACTGGTCTCTTAGGACCCACGCAAATCGCTTTGGAAATTTAAGGGGTGCATTAAACTAGGACATTTCAACACCCAATTGAAGTACCCCTTCCAGGATCAGAGGTGCTTCGAATTGACGATCCTGGTGCTCTTGCATAAGGTGGCCCCCCGGGCGCATGACATGAGTGGGCATGGGGACTCTGCAGCCAAGCAGAGATGGGCTGAGTCCAGACACGGCCTCCTGCACCCTGACGGCTGGGGGCAGGCTCCCCAGGGGAGGACCCCACAATGCTGACAAGTCAGACTGACGCCCCGTAGCCCCATAGATTACAAATGGGCCCTGCCAGGAGCGGACACTGACTCTGGCCTCGGCTTTGTGGGTCCAGCGGGAGATGCAAGCGCTCAGCTACGCACATGCACACATCTGCTCTTTTTCAGCCCCTTCTCCCATTGAGGTTGTCACAGAATACGGAGTGCAGTTCCCTGTGCTCTATGATAGGTCCTTGTTGTTATCTCTTTTACGTACAGTAGCGTGAGTATGTTAATCCCAAACCCCCAACCTTTCCCCTCTGGTGACCTGACATTTGTTTTCTGTGAGGAGTTTGCTGCTGTTGCTGCCCAGCTTGTCCCAGTCTTGGCCATTGAGGAACCGTGTCGGCGGTGTCCTTGTCTTTCTGACACACTCCCGCCAGTGTGGGTGTGTTTTGGGGGAAAGTGGGGAGGCGGATACTCCAGGCTCACCCCGAGCCTCTCCAGCCCCAGCTCCAGAAACAGCGGTTTCTCCTAGAAGTGCTGGAGAAACCAGCTCTAGGGGCTGCAGTGCTACTAGGGTGGGGCTGCTCCAGGGTCCTCTCTGCAGACACAGACTCCTCTCCAGAGGACCCTCCGTCTCGGCAGCTGGGATGGGTGGGGGGTGGGCCGGAGAGAGGGAGGGGGCAACGGTCCAGAGATGAGAGCCCCTTCTGGAGCCGGCCTGGATGCAGGGCCTGGTGTCTGCAGCCCAGGAAGCCACAGGTGGACGCAGGTAGGCCCCGCCCACCAGAGCGCCCCCGACCAGTCATCCAAGAGCCCCTCCCAACACCACCCCGATCACTCCCTGCCTTCAGCACGGACTGCTCAGACCAGCAGAGGGGGCAGGAGAGAAAGGGGTGCAGAGTCGGTTCCAGGGCCGCCTCTGGGGCCTCAGCGGAGGGCGGCCCCTCTCACCTGTAGCCAGATGCTGTGCGGATTCTTTACCGTCTGAGCCCCAGGGAGGCCCTGCTCCAGTCCAGTACCATACAGCAGCCTGTGTTAGTTGTATACCTAGGCCAGCTCTGGTGGGCTTATGAGCACACTTAGAACCTGCTTGCAGGTAGGGGACTTACTATACTTCATTCACAAGAGATTTTGATTGATTGTTCAACTTTCCTGTCTCCCTTTTCTGAAAATCTATTAATTAGCTAATTAAAATTTATACATTTGGCAACTTCATCTTCCGTTAATCGAGTTTAAAGCAGTACTAGTCACTCTGGACAAATACAGGATTGCAATCATTTCTGATGATTTTCAACTTCGAGAAGGATCTTTCTGCTGATGGAACCATTGCTGGGACTGTTCAGAGTATGAATGAGCTGTGAGAGCATGGGGATACTTCCTAGTTATTTTGAAATGTAAGTTCTAGGACATTTAGAGCTGATGATTCTTTCAGAAGAGAAGACTCTGGAGAAGACTCTTGAGAGCCCCTTGGACAGCAAGGTGATCAAACCAATCAATCCTAAAGGAAGTCAACCCTGAATATTCATTGGAAGGACTGACGTTGAAGCTGATACCTTGAAGCTCCAATACCTTGGCCACTTGATGCAAAGAGCAAATTCACTGGAAAAGACCCTGATGCTGGGGAAGATTGAGGGCAGGCAGAGGAGAAGGGGACGACAGAGGATGAGATGGCTGGATGGCATCACTGACTCACTGGATGAGTGGACATGAGTGGACATGAGTTTGAGTAAACGAAGAGAGATGGTGAAGGATGGGGAAGCCTGGCATGCTGCAGTCTATTGAGTCACAAAGAGTTGGACACAGCTTAGCGACTGAACAACAATTCTTTCAGAGCAATTTTCCTGAAAAGATTTAACCCTTCATACAAATCAGTTTTGTGAAAGTTTGAATTTAAATGTAAATCTTTGCAGTGTCACTTTCATATTTCCTATAGCTTTTGGAGACCATAAAGAAACTGATTCATGATTTGCATGTAATTTCAAACAGCTCTTTGTGCACTTTTATCATTCTATCTTCAGTTTTACTGAAAAGTTAATTTTAAGTTGTCATCCAAAGTTAATTTGTCGTCGAAAGTAAATTTTGAGTTGTCGTCCATGTAGTAACTGGTTCATCAAAGCTTCATATGAACATTGTGTTCTTTTCTGTGTAATAACGTGATCCTTAAATTTAATTTTTCTTTCCAAGTTGGTGGATTTTGCTTTGCAATGTTGACCTTTTTCAAAAGAGATTCCAAACTCCTGGAATAATTCTAATAGCCCAGTGCTGTCGTGTATTTCAATGCCCACGTTAGTGCTTTTCTTGAGCTCACTCACTGAACAGCTCACTGCCTGAGTGAGCAGGAGGGCCCCTGTCCTGGAAGCCTTGTTCGGGGGCTGTAGGGCCTTTCTGGGGGATAGCTGAGCGGCGCCCCCCCACTTGTCCTGGTGCTGCCAGTGAGGACCCCCTCTCCGCCCAGGGTGACGACCTCACCCCTGCGGCTGCTGCAGTGGCCGTCCTCCCGGTGCTGACCCCCGGGGACGGGGCTCCAGGAACCCCCAGGAGAGGAGCCCCATCGCATCACCGCCCCTGCGCCTCTCTCCCGGGGGGGCCTTCAGAGACCCGGGCCCGCTCCCCGTCCCAGGAGGCCACAGCAGGGTGGAGAGGAGACGGAGCCCATAGAGAGCAGCCGCGCTGCCCGGGCAGGTGGGGGAGCGGATCGTGAAGGTGGGCAGCCATAGGAAGTGGGGAGGAGTCTCCCTTCTCTCCCCTGCACCCCGCACTGGAGCTGGTGCATGCAGACGGCGCCTCGCCTCCACGAGGCAGCCCCTCGGCCGGTGGGCTCACCCAGGGCCTCTGCTTGGCTTCTCCCTCTTGTCCGTCTCGCCCGAGGAGAGGGTGGGGCCCTGGGCTGGGCTCCCTACCAGCCTCGCTCTCCGGACGGGGCTGCAGGAACCCCCAGCTGAGGGGCTGTGTTCTCTGGGGGTGGGAGATTCCAGGTGAGCTCTGGTCTTTGGGGAGAAAATGGCTGGGGGCTCCCCCAAGCCTGGGGAAACCTGGGGTCTGCAGTGAGGGCCCCGCTGTGCGTGCCTGGCCATGACGGCCTTCAGGGCGGCAGGGTGCTGGGGGCAGTGCTGGGTGTCCCATGTCCCCTGCAGCCGCGGGCTCCAGCCATCACCCTGACCATCCCCAGCAGCTGCCCGCTGGGGTGTGTCCAGGCCGACCAGTCACCACCAGTGGGACACCTCAAGGCCGGGTGTGCTCACCCTGCACCGTGGCCTCTCCTCCTAGGTCTTACCTTTGATTTTGGTTGGGAAAGATTGAAGGCAGGAAGAGAAGGGGATGACAGAGGATGAGATGGTTGGATGGCATCACTGACTCAATGGANGGGATGACAGAGGATGAGATGGTTGGATGGCATCACTGACTCAATGGACATGAGTTTGAGCAAGCTTTGGGAGTTGGTGATGGACAGGGAGGCCTGGTATACTGCAGTCCACGGGGCCACAAAGAGTCGGATGCGACTGAGCGACTGAAGGACAACTGTATAGAAGAGGCACCAGAGACCCCCTGCGAAGGGAAGGGCAGGTGGCCCTGCGCCCCGCCTCACTCGGCCTGCCCGTCACCAGCCTGTCAGGCCCAGGGACATGGCAGGTCTTAGGGACGTTTTATTGACATGTGGTTTCTGGTGAGGAAGGGGCTGGAGGTCTGTCCCCTGCCCTCAGCTCAGGAGCCTCCGGGTCCAGCCACGGTTGGGCCCTAGCTCCCTGCTCACGGGGACGGAGCCGGCGTGGCTGGAACTCAGTGGCTGCCCCCCTGCCCCCACTACCGGGGCCCCCGTCCTCTGCTCCCCTCTTCAGGCGTCTGGCTGCCTCCAGGCCCCGGGACAGGCCTCCCTCTGGGGACCCGGTACTTGCTCTTCTGACTGTAAAGCAGGTTCCTCTGGAAAAGGCGAGGGAGGCGGCCGTGATACAGCAGGACGGCTAGGAGCATGCCTGTGGAAGAGCGAGGGTCACACGGAAGCTGGGGGCTCCCCAGGCCTGAGACCCCCCTGATGCCGCGCCCCACACCATCTGTGGACAGACGCCTGCAGACGGGGCCAGGTCTTGCCCTGGCCCGGCTTCTGCCAGCATCCACTCCCCTGGGGCCATCCCCCTGGAGGTTGGTGGGGACCCGGAACCGTGTGCACTTGCTGACCACACTCTGGGCCCCATGTTCCAGGCACAAGTGCCTGAGTCTCAGCCCTTCCTCTCGGGGCCGTCTCCTGACGCTAGCATGTCGTCCATGGGGTGGCAAGAGTGGAGGTGGGACCAAGGGGGCCGGGGGTCAGGGGATGGGGCCTGGCCGACCCCTCGCCCCCAGGTTCTGCCCGGAGCTTCCGGAGTGGAGGACCCTGGACCCCCACCCAGCTGGCCAACCCTCGTCCCCCCGAGAGCGGGAGGCCTCCTGCCTGAACTGAGCCGGTGTGTGCACACGGGTTCCGGCCCCCTAGCTTCCGCCCCCGTGGCTCCCAGAAGGGTCCTGACGGCACCAGTGTCGCCACAGCAGCTGTGGGGTCACAGGCTGGAGCGGTGTTCCCCGGATTCAGGTCGTTCCCTGACCTCACAGTGGGACTTTGCCTGAAATAGGGTCTCAGCGGGTGTGAGTAGTTACATTAAGACGCGGTCTCCCTGGAGCAGAGTGGACCCCAACGCCGTGTGACTGCTGTCCTTCTCAGGGGACACACGGTGGACAGGGAGGACGGGCTGGGATGGGACTGATGCACCCGCAAGCCCCGGATGCCCGGGGGCAGGGGGCAGGGAGACTGCAGCCACAGAGACGGCGAGGCTTCCCCCCCCCACTGCCTGGGTTCAGGTGAGTGGCCTTGCTGTCCCCAGCCTTCACTTCGCTTCCCTGGGCCAGCCAAGAGCTCTGAAGGACAGCCCCGCCCCGTCCAGCCAGCGCCCATGTGGATTGGGGCCAAAACGCTCTATTCCAAATGCCCACGTCTCCAGCTTCCCTGCAAGGATCCCCCCCCACTCTCCGGGACCCTGGGGGAGGCCCCAGGAGCAGCCCCCGCCTCGACCCGAGCCAGCGAGCTGGAAGCCCTGTGGGCTACCCCTGTCCCCAGAGGACAGACTGGGCCGGCCTGCCCCTGCCCCCGGGGCCCCCTGCACCCCTGGAGCCCCTTACCTGTCACGGGGCCCAGCCAGTAGACCTGGACATACTCCAGGACGCTGTGCCCTGAGCAGCGGAAAGTGACCGAGGCGGCCAGTGCAGGGTTCAGGAAGGCGGACGTCAGGGGCCCGGCTGCAGGGAAGTGCAGACATCAGTCCTGGCTCGCCTGTGCCGCCGCCCGCGGGACCACCCACCCCACGTCCGGCAGTCGCCTGGGCAGGCCTGGCGGGGTGGCCCGGCTCCAACCCCCTGTGCCATGGGGACACCGGGAGGCAGGCCGCCCNTCCCCAGGCCTCCAGGAGGGGTGACCAAGGACGCAGGAGCTTCCAGACCAGAGCCTGGGCCCCAAAGAAGCAGCAGCCCCCCTCCCCACCCACCGTCCGCCTCAGGCGTCGGCCTCCCAGGATGAACAGGAGCAGCTCAAGGTGAGGACAGACCCAACCAGGAAGGACTGTCTGACTGGGTCCCGTCCCTGCCCATCACGTTGAGTCCCGCCTGGCTGGCTACCACCCCCAGCAGGTGCCCAGGCAATGGCCACCCCAGGCCCCGTGCTGGCCTGCAGCTCCTCTCCTGGGTGGCCACGCAGCCCCGGGGACGGGCGGCCGGTCTCACCTGTGCCGGCCACGGCGGTGAGCAGCAGGGCCACAGCCGGCGCCCTGTGGACGGCGCGGCTGCCCTGGAGGCGGAGGAGCGCCAGGTGCAGCAGGAAGGCGCAGGAGCCCTCGAGCAGGGCGCCGTGGGGCACGGCCGTGCGCAGCGCCGAGCTGCAGTGTGGGTCCATGAGGCTCTGCAGCACGTGCAGGTCGCTGAGCCCCCAGGCCCAGTAGAGCCGCGTCAGGGCGCCGGCCGCCTGCACGCCCAGTGCCTGTGCCGCCAGCTCCAGCAGCGTGCCGGGCAAGGAGGCCTCGGCCAGGAGGAACCGCTGCAGGGACACCGTGGGGTTGGCCGAGGCCCCGTCCAGGGTGGCCCCATGCACCAGAAGGAGCAGGAAGACCAGAGTCAGCAGCAGGTCGGGGCCGAAGCCCCCCGCCCAGGGCCCAAGCTCCACCAGCATCCGCATCTCCAGGCAGCAGGCCCCCAGCTGGGCCGTGCCCGCCGCCTCCCGGGCAAAGTGGGCGTAGGCGCCCCCGGGGAGCAGGGCCTTGGCCGCCCTCCTGGCCGCCTGGCAGAGGGCGAAGGTGGCGAGGAAGAAGCAGAGGGACACGTTCAGACCGGCCATCAGCCTGAGCTGACGTGTCGGGCAGGGAGGCCGTGGGAGCCTCACACCTGCACCGCCCGCAGCGCCTCCCCGGCCCGCCCCTCAGTCGGGCGTCCTCCGCGGACACCCGGCCCCGCTCAGGCACTCCAGGTGCTGCTCCCCAAAGCTGCCGGGGCTCCGTGACTCAGCCCGGCCTCCTGGCTCCACCGGGCAGCTCCCTGCAGGCGCCTGTGCCATCCCCGCCTGGGTGAGGGTCCCTGGGCACCAGCTCCCTCAGGAGGGTGGCCGTGTGCTGGCTCAGGAGCCCCGCGCGGGGAGCAGGGGGCGCCCTGGCAGGGCTGCACTGGGCACCTTGGAAGCTAAGCCTGCAGAGACGGACCCACCTCACCTCATACAGTAAGTCCCCTGCACACGAACAGCTTCCGTCCCGAGAGCACGTTTGTAGTCCACACAATGACTACATAGTTCTGTACTGTGATAGGCTTATACTCTTCACACAAATATGCAGTCTATATATACACACTATACTGTCCAGGGAATTCTCCAGGCCAGAATACTGGAGTGGGTTGCCGTCCCTTTCTCCAGGGGATCTTCCCAACCCAGGAATGGAACCGGGGTCTCCTGCATTGCAGGCAGATTCTTTACCAACTGAGCTATCAGGGAAGCCCTTTATAATACTCTTTACACAAATAATACATAAAAAAAACAATCAAAACCATGTCAACCTTACACTACACACAGCGCCTTGAAAAGTGCAGTAGAACGTACCAACAGCTGGCATACAGGGCTGGCATCGAGTGAACATCAAGAAGCGTTACTGGCAGGAGGAGACAGAGGAGGGGAGACGGCAGAGCTGAAGGGTCGTCAGCAACAGGAGACGGAGGGCTCGCTGCCTTGGCTCACGCCGGACGCTGATGGGACGGACATCCGCACCTCTGAAAGCTCACAGTGTCAAGGTTCCTGAGAAGGGGACTTACTGCCCTGGATCTTCTGCCTGGAGGGTGGGCATGTGACTTGCATTTCTAGCAAAGTTATGAGTTAGTCTTGAGCAAAAGGGCTGCTTGGGGGCTTCAGGGGTTTCCTGCAGGCCCAGCACATGGTGAACTTGGAGGAGAGGGCCCGATCCAGGCAAGTGGGGTCCCCTGTGAACCCCTCTCCACACCCCACTCGGGTCCAGGTAAGCGCCTGGCCCGAGGACGTCGCTGGGCCCTGGCTCCCAAGTCGGAGGGACTGGAAGTTCGGGGCTCTGCTCGTGACTCTGCTGGACACCGGCCAGGCTGCAAGGACAGCCAGCCCAGGTCGTGGTCACGGACTCTCTGCAGTGACCTCAGGACCTGAACGAGCAGGGGTGCTGGATCTGCCAGGCCGCCCCTGGCCCAGCGGTCACTCCAGGCCAAGGGGACAGGCTGAGCGGGGCTCAGAGGGTGCGGAGGGGAGGCCCGAGCCGGGCACAGGCCCGCAGGCCTGAGCTGGAGCAGAGAGCAGGAGCCGGCTGTGGAGGAGGCTTCCGGGGGAGGAGGACTGAGCCAGGGGCTGGGAGCGCTGTTGCTGAAGGTCAAAGTCAAGGTCTCCAGGACACAGCCACACCCCGCAGGGGCCAAGGTAGAGGGCGCAGGGCGGCGGAGGGGTCCCTGGGCAGGGGCCCCAGGGGAGACAGGCGGCTCACCCCTGCCTGCCCCCTGCAGAAGGGGGAGGGGGCTCTGAGCGCAGGAGCCGGGTCTCTGCAGGCAGAGGCCTCATGTCCGGCCACCGCTGCTGGGGAAGGGGTCCAGGTGACGTCCCCTCAAGCCCACCTGGAGGCCCCCGGCCCTCCACCCCTGCTGCTCTGTCCCTCACATCCCCGCCGCCCTGACCTGCCGTCCCGTCCTCCTTCCCAGGGGCTTGACTCCAAAGACAAAAGTGAAAGTCGCTCAGTCGTGCCCGACTCTGTGCGGCCCCATGGGCTATACAGTCCGTGGAATTCTCCAGGCCAGAATATTGGAGTTGGTAACCTATCCCTTCTCCAGGGGATCTTCCTGACTCAGGGATTGAACCCAGGTCTTGCACATTGCGGGTGGAGTCTTTATCAGCTGAGCCACCGGGATGAAAGAAATGCCCTCCAAATCAGGGTGAGTTTCCTCCAGAGGAGCTCGGCCGGGCCCGGGGCTGTGGGGTGCTGCGTGCGAGGCTGAGGGCTGGGCCCGGACGCCTTTGCCGCTAGCCGCGCCCACGCGAACCTGCTTCCCGCAGCAGCACCGGTTTCCCCATCCAAGGCCCTGCTCCCAACGGCGCCCCAGCTGGGGACGCGTCTCCCTGAGCAGGTGCACTTCTAATGGGGGGGGGGCTCGAGACCAGCCGAGGCTTCCGTTCTGCCCGCCCCCCCCCCGCATTCTTGCTACGAAGATGGCAGGGGCTCTGCCATCTGATGCCCACATCCCCGCCCCCTCACCTGCCATCTGATGCCCACATCCCCGCCCCCTCACAGCTCCATCTGTTGTCTTTTCCCCAGCCAGCGCTCGTCCCCTAGAGCCCAGGCCCAGGGAGGTGAGGCGGGGGGCAGAGACCTGCAGCTTAGGGACAGGGGCTGACTGTTTTGGCTGTCCTGGCAGACAACCTTGGGGCTCAGAACTCTCCCGGAGGTGGGAAGGCGTCTGGTGCCCCATTCTCCCCACCCCACGCCCCAGGAGAGGGGTGAGGCCAACCCCAGCAGGAAGGTCTCCAGGGCCCCAACCTCACCCAGGAGGCGGACACGCCTCCAGACTCCAGCCTGTGCACGGGGTGTCTGTCTTTCCCTTCTGCCAGGCCCCCACCCTCTCCAAGGAGCAGAGAGCCTTTTGGAAGCCGCAGCGACCTGGTGTACTGAAGCCGGTGATAAAAGAAATGCTCACAGACTGAGGAGCTGGGAAGTCATTCTGGCTTTTACCTGAGTTAACTTGTCTTAAAATTGATTTTTATTGGCGTGTAGTTGGTTTACAATGTTAATTTCTACTGTACAGCACAGTGAATCAGCTATACATACACATATATCCTCCAGAGTTAGCTTGAGCTTGATGCTAACAGGAATAGCCTGTTTGTGGCCCAGCAAACATACATTGTACATCTGGTTTAATTATTAAAGGAAAGGGCGCACCGACCAGAAGGAAAGAATGTCCGGGGCTTCCCTGGCGGCTCAGTGGTAAAGAATTCACCTGCCGATACAGGAGACACGGGAGATCCCACATGCCTTGGAGCAACTAAGCCCGTGCTCCACGACTGCTGAGCCTGCACTCTCGGGCCCAGAGCCACAGCTGCTGAAGCCCGCGTGCTTTAGAGCCCATGGTCTGGGGCAAGAGAAGACACCGCAATGGGAAGCCAGAGCACCGCAACTAGAGAGCAGCCTGGGCCGCAACGAAGGCTCAGCACAACCAAAAAAAATGAATAAATAAAAACAGAGGATGATAGGGTTGGATGGCATCACTGACTCGGTGGACATGAGTTTGAGCAAGCTCTGGGAGTTGGTGATGGACAGGGAGGCCTGGCGTGCTGCAGTCCACGGGGTTGCAAAGAGTCGGACACAACTGAGCGGCTGAACTAAACTGAAAACAAAGAATGTCCGTGTTAAAAATAAAGGTTAAATGCTTCCCTTTCTGGCCCTTCTTTAACAATAAGACTCCCTCTCATGTGCTGAGGACACGCTGACTCGCTGTGTACGAGCCGGCCTGTTTTCTTGAGAACTTAAAGGGATATGGGGCTTCCCAGGAGGCACTAGCGGAAAAAACTACCTGCCAATGCAGGAGAAGCAAGATCCCCTGGAGGAGGGCGTGGCAACCGGCTCCAGTACACTTGCCTGGAGAAGCCTATGGACAGAGGAGCCGGGTGGGTATGAAGGGACACACCCCAGACTTGTTTGATGTTCTTTGTCCCAACGAGTTATAGAACTGCTCTGGAGCACTCCCTCCGAGTGACCTGGGAAGCTGTTTCCCGGGTGATAGTCTTCAGTTTGGGTTCAGTAAAACTCTTCTTTCCTGTTGCAGGTTACCGATTGTGTTCGTGGACCCCGGGCTTCCCTCGGGCTCACACACGACATGAGTGCCTGCGGGGACCTCCCGGCCACCTCGGAGCCCCGGGCCTCCGCCTTACCCATTGGTCACCCGCGGCTCCCCCGTGGGGCCTGGCCTCCGGGCGGCCAGGGCCTGCCGGGGTCGGAGCACAGCAAACACTGACCACCAGACACCCCGCCTGGAGTGGGATGGTGATCCACTGAGTCATCAGCCTGAATTGGCTGTATTTCTAGATACTTCATACTTTTAGGTAAAACTTAAATGGTGTGCAGCACACCCATCTTGAGAGTGAACTCTCACCCGAGAGACACACGCACAGCCGCGGGTCACCCAGGCTGAGCGCGCTCTCAGAAAGCCCCGTCCCTTCCAGTGGGCCCCACCCCTGGTCAGAGGCATCTGGCTTCTTGCTTTGCTTCACAGAGGCTTGGGGACCTCCGTGTAGCCCGAGACCTGCGTCAGCCCTGCGTCTCCATGTGGGGGCCGGCAGGGGGCTGGGCTGGTTTGCTTTCCAGTGTCAGAGTTTTGTTCCTACTTAATGCTGAATGGAATTCCATTCCATGACTGAACCACAACTTGTTAATCCATCTTTCTGATAATGAAGCAACATTTAGGTTTTTTTCCATTTTTTCCCCTGCAATACAAATAAAGCTGCTCTCAGTAAGTTCATATAAGTCCTTGTGGACAAGCGTTTTTGGTTTTGGGGTGGTGGTAAGCAGCTAAAGAATCTTTCTAAATCATAGGGCAGGACAACACTTAATTCTGTGAGGTTCTCTTGCTACTTCCCACAAGGTGGTTGTAGCATTTACGTTCCCAGGAGCATTCTAATGGCAGAAGGTGAAGAACTTAAGAGCCTCTTGATGAGGGTGAAAGAAGAGAGTGAAAAAGCTGGCTTAAAGCTCAACATTCAAAAAGCTAAGATCATGGCATCCAGTCCCATCACTTCATGGCAAATAGATGGAGAAAANCTGCAGTCCGTGGGGTCGGACACAACTGAGCGGCTCA